AATTTATTTGTGAGGTAGAGTTACATACAATGAGAGAGAGAGACTGAGAGAAAAGTCTTTCATCCACTTCCCAAATGGCCACAATGGCCAGAGCTGAGCCGATCCAAAGCCAGAAGCCAGGAGCTTCTTCCAGGTCTTCCACACGGGTGTAGGGGCCCAAGCGTTTGGGCCATCTTCTACTGATTTCCCAGGCCACAGCAGAGAGCTGAATCGGAAGAGGAGCAGCCTAGCCTACAACCGGTGCCAATATGGGATGCTGCCGCCACAGGCAGAGGATTAACTCATTGCACCATCACGCTGGCCCCAGTTGGATGAACTTTACTGAATGGCTAATATTAGGTATTTACTTAGGGTGGACACAATATTAGAAAGCTTATAAAATGAGCATATTATTCATAAATAAGAGTTTGGCAATGATTCTTCAGCAAGATTTGGAAAGTCGTAAGATAAGCAAGCCCTTTTAGGAATTCATAATATAGTCTACATGGAATGTTCTCTTTTCTCCTTACACAATTATATTCTTGTTTGAGAGACAGGGAAACAGGAAAAGGAGAAGAAAGGAGAGAAAGAGAAAGAGAGATCCCATCTGCTGGGTCATTCTCCAAACCTATAAAGGCTGGGTTGTGCTAAGCCAAAGTTGGGAGCTGGGAACCCAATGCAGATCTTCCATGTACTTGAGCCACCACCACTGCCTCTTGGGCTCTTTATTAGCAGGAAGCTGGAACTGAGAGTGGAGTAGGACTCAAATCCAGGCACCCTGATCTGGGATGAAGTTATACCAATCAGTGGCTTAACTGCCAGGCCAAATGATCAACCCCTCAAATTCTGTAAACCTTTTCATCTTCAAGTGACTTCCCAGGTTATTTCAAAATAAACAAAACAGTTTTAGTTACAAGGAAAAAATTTATCCATATGAATAACACTATCTTAAATCTGGATCACTGAAAAGGCTTTGTTGTTTAAGGTGTATATATCTCAGAACAAAACCACTGTGTGTTTTTCCCAAAGCTGTGACATGAAGGATGGAAAGTAGTTGCTTTGTTTTACTTTTTAAAATTGAATAGCATTGATATTTGCATCAGAAATTCTTAGGTATCTATGCTAAGAGAAAATTTATATGCTAGCTAAATTAACTTAAAGGAATAATAGTTTTCATGCAGTAGAAAACTCAAATAATGTGACATGGTCTAACAAGTCAGTGTTTCTAAATGGCAATTAAAGTAACACATTTATGGGAAAAAGAAAAACCTCTTTGTCCCTGTATGCTACCTAATCCAGAATAAAAATTACAGGAAAATCCTGAGGATTAGCAAACACACTGAGTTTTAAAAGTATTCTTCCATGCTTACAGAGAACATAGAATTGAAACATAAATCATAACATATCATACTGGAAGCATTTTTATGATATCCACAAAATAACAAAGAGAAAGTGTTGAGCAAACTTTGGCAATTGTGCACACTAACCTGTGAGTGCAGGAATACAGTTGACCATGAGATGTAGCAAACCAGCTGCACTCAGTCTCTACATCACCATGAAGACCCCATGGCATCTGTGGCATAACTATTAGCAGGATGTAAACACTGAGAGAAGCCACATTGGGCCAACAGGATCACAATGATATCAGCTCATCTTCAAAATCAGATGGTTGCTGCACACAGAGACATGTGTAAGGAAGAAACTGCTTTTTAGATCACTGTTCTAAAATCGCCCAGAAACTCCTCATACACTGGAACCAAAGAAGCCTTAGAATGTTTGAACTATAAGCAATCTCAGAGGTTATCAAATGACAGCATTTGCATTTTGCCATGACATATTTAACCATGTTTGAAATGGCATATGCATGAGGAGGTACAATTTAAATTGCATTTTCATGCATATATGGTTTATTCTAGAACAAATTTTCATTAACCACATTTCAACACTTAGTTCCTATTTCTAAGATAAATGTTGTGTTAATTTTTAATATTGTGTTAATATTTAATATTGTGAAATATTTTCATTTTCTTCAGTCTTTACTTTGAGAGATGGTTTGATATTGCTGTATGTCTGAAATCAGGTATCTAGCAAGATAAAGGAATGCTACTTTTAAATTTTTTTCATTTTATTAAGATTTTTTTCAAACTTCATTCATTTAGTATATACAAATTTAGTGGTGATTCTTCTCCCCCCACCTCCCACCTACCCATACTCCCACAAAAGGAATGGTACTTCAATTCCTTTCCAATTACTTTCAAGAGCTGCTGATCTCCCTCAGAAAAAGAAGAAACCTCTGACAACCTGGGGAAGAAACATGCAAAGTACACTTCACTGTGGCTCAGGGGTCCTACTGTTCTCCCATGCAAAGGCAAATAGAAGGCATAGTCAAGGTATTCCTCTCTTACCAAAACTTATCAAGAGTACTAACAGAATTCATGGTCAAGTATATGCACCCACAATACACACAAAAACCTCATGCCTTCTATAAGCTATCCAAATTTTTAATTCTAATTTTAAATTGGTTTTTAACAAATTCAATGTAATTTATACATACAATTCTTAAGCACACAATGATATCCCTTCTTCCCTCCCTCCCCTTTACTTCCTCCCATTCTCTTGCCTCCTCCCCCTCTTTTTTTCTTTTTGACATAACATTTTAAAATTACATTACAGTAAAAAGGCTTAATGCTTTTAATTTATTTATTTATATTTGAAAGATAGAGAGAGACTGTCCATCTGCTTTCTCACTCCCCAAATATCCACAACAACCAGGGCTGGACTAGGGAAAGATAGGAGCCCAGAACACCATCCAGGTCTCCCACATAAATCATGTCAGTAATTCAGTGGCAGCGATTCAAGTATTTGAGCTGTCACTGCTGCCTCCTGAGGTATGCATTAGCAGGAAGCTGGAATTGGAAGTGGAGCTGGGACTCCAACCCATGCACTCCAATATGGGATGCAGTCGTCCCAAACAGCAACTTAACCTTTGTCAAAATGTCCACTCCAAGACTCTTCATAATAGTCATTTTTTTAAGGATTTCATTCACTTAATTACTTTAATCCATTCATTTAATTCATTTATATAAATACTTCTCATTCTGTATATAATACTGCCCAACATAATTACTCTCCTCTCAAAAAACCTTAAAGAAAGCAAAATCTCAATGCCTTTAGTACATATTATCATTCTTAGTTTTTACAGAAGGAAATTTAATTTTTTTACTCATTTTGAAGTGCTCTGGGCTACAAATTAATTTTTTTAGAATATGGGGCTGGCATTGTGGTATGGCAGGTGAAGCTGCTGCTTGTGATGCCAGTATCCCATATGAATCCCAGCTGCTGCTCCACTTCCGATCCAGATCTTTGCAAATACACCTGGAAAAGCAACAGAAGATGACCCAAGAACTTGGGCCCCTGCCACCCATGTGGGAGACTCAGATGGAGTTCCAGGTTCCTGGCTTTGGCCTGGCCCAGCCCTGGCTGTTGAAGCCATTTGGAGAGTGGACAAGTGGATGAGAGATCGATCGATCAATCAATCTATCTATCTATCTATCTTCTTCTTCTTCTTCTTCTTCTTCTTCCCCTTCCTCCTCCTCCTCCTCCTCCTCTTCTTCTTCTTCTTCTTTCCTCTCTCTCTCTCTCTATAACTCTGCCTTACAAATAAATTAAAATAAATCTTTTTTTTTATCTTTTATTTAATGAATATAAATTTCCAAAGTACGACTCATGGGTTACAATGGCTTTCCCCCCATACTGTCCCTCCCACCCACAACCCTCCACTTTCCCACTCCCTCTCCCCTTCCATTCACATCAAGATTCATTTTCGATTATCTTAATATACAGAAGATCAGCTTAGTATACCTTAAGTAAGGATTTCAACCGTTTGTTCCCACACAGAAACATAAAGTGAAAAATAATAGATGATTTTTTTTTAAATCATGATGAAATCAGATCAGACCTATTGTCATGTTTAATCCCAGTGAGAGTCAAGTTGGGAATTGATCATTTCTTTTTTTATTTTTTATTTTTATTTTTTTTACAGAAGATCAGTTTAGTATACATTAAGTAAAGATTTCAACAGTTTGCACCCACATAGAAACACAAAGTGAAATATACTGTTTGAGTACTTGTTATAGCATTAAGCCTCAATGTACAGCACATTAAGGACAGAGATCCTACATGAGGAGTAAGTGCACCGTGACTCCTGTTGTTGACTTTACAAATTGACACTCCTGTTTATGGCATCAGTAATCTCCCTATGCTCCAGTCATGAGTTTCCAAGGCTATGGAAGCCCCTTGAGTTCTCCGACTCTTATCTTGTTTAGACAAGGTCATAGTCAAAGTGGAGGTTCTCTCCTCCCTTCAGAGAAAGGTACCTCCTTCTTTGAAGACCTGTTCTTTCCACTGGCCTCTCACTCACAGAGGTCTTTTTTCCAGAGTGTCTTGGCTTCCATG